TCAACCAGGCGGGCCTGCGCCAGCCCCCGGGCACCCACCGCACACGCCTCCACCCTGGCCCAGCAGTGACACTGACCGGGGCCAGGGGCAGTGTGGGGATCCCCTGGCACTGCGCCTACTGGGCCGGATGCTTTGCTGGTCTTTCCTCTCTGCAGGGAGACAGCAGGAGCCCAGGGCCAGCTCACTCCCCGTACGGGGCTCGGGGCTGGGAGGCCTTGGGGGGGCTGCTCCCCCACCCGGGATGTGGTGATGAGCTCACCGGCTATTCCGGGCCCTGTGTTTCCTGGCTCCTCCCGACGGGAACCTGCTCCTTAAACAACAAACAAACAGCCCGTGGCCACTGGCACATTCCTGCAAGGCACTGCTGTGGGCGCGCAGCTTCCTGTTTATCCCCGTCCCACCGTGCGGGCACCGCCGCTCCTGGGGGAGGTGGGGGGAAGCTTGGGCACCGGAGACGCCATCCCAACTCCTGCTGTGGCAGTGAGTGCAGCTGGGGACAGATTCAGGGGTACAGCAGTCAGGAGAGACCCAGGCTGGGGATCAGGCTTGAGGGGCACTGGCAGAGCTGGGGGGACCCCAGGGCTGGGACAGGAGGGGGCTGCGGGTCGGGGCTGAGGGGCACTGGCAGGGCAGAGCTGAGGGGACCCCAGGGCTGGGACAGCAGGGGGCTGCAGGTCGGGGCTGAGGGGCACTGGCAGGGCAGAGCTGGGGGGACCCCAGGGCTGGGGAGAGGGCTGGTGGAGGGTCAGAGGACCAGCACAAAGGTGGCCTGGGGCCAGAGCCCTGGTAGGGGTCGGGTCACCATCCCGTCTCGAGGGCTGACTGGGTGCTCGGAGCAGGGCGGCAGGGGGTCCCAGCTAGTGTCAGCTGGTGACCAGTCTGACCCCCGGGTCAGTGAGGAGACCCCTGAGCCGGCTCCAACCCAGACCCCATTGTCCTGGGCCCCACTAGCTGGCGCATGGAGACAGCCGGGCCTCGCTGAGTCCCCGGGCCGGGCTCGCTGTGTGCCCCAGGGAGCCCCGGAGCCACTTGGTGGCTGCAGCCAAAACAGAGACTTGGGCGCTGGGGGCTCCGTCCCCCACTGGCCCGGCCCTGCCTGATCCCACAGCCCAGAGCCGGCTGCGCGACACGGGGCTCTCCCCGCGGGCTGGCTCCGGGCCCCAGGCGTGTGGCTCATTTGGGCCCAGAGGGTTTCTAACCTCAGGCAAATTGCTCCTTTCTGGGTGTGCTCATAAACCCCCCGTCGGGAGGCCCAGGTAGGGGGCTGGGGGGCCCAGCCCAGGCAGGAGGTTTTGAAGAGCGAGGCCTGGCCTGGGTGGAGGGCTTCAATGGGCAGGCGGGGGGCTGGGGGCCCAACGGGGGGAGGAGGGGATCAGGGGGCCTGGTGGGGGGCCAGGGGGCAGGTGAGAGTCAGGGAGCCCAGTGTGGGTCAGGGGGCCCAGTGGGGGCAGGCAGGGATCAGGGGGGC